TACCTGCAATAGTTCACCCCACTGAATGGTTGGTCTAAGCGTTACACCTCTATTCGCCCGCAAGCATTGCTACTGGCAGCAGTGACAAAGATTGAAGGTAAGCACTAATGTATGTTAAAATAATTACTTTTGGGATTGATTGAAGAAAAGGGAATAAAAATGGAGGGCAAGTAGTGATTCCGGGTATTGCCTGTTTGTAGAAAGTGTTAGTAAACTCGAGAACGCTGTGAAAATGCCTACTAAGGCAGAAGATGTCCAGAGGGATTGGGGAGCCATCGATGCCTCCGAGAAGATGAAGTCGTCCGGTCGGTAGCAGGTCGACTAAGATGCTGGGCTTGCAGCGCCTGAAAAGCAGTTAACGAACCCACTCTTTCGAGAAGCCGTTGCAAGTGAGCTAGCTCCATCAGTAGATCCCGATATCGCAGTGTCTGTGAGGCGAGTGGTGAATCTACCGCTCGCCCCGATTTACAGTAGTCTGTTTTCACGGTCATCAACTCCAATGGATCGACCGTTTAGAAAACTTCTGCCCGCCAACGTCATAATAAGCAAGTTACCTTTCAGTTTATTTTACCTTCTTAAGGGCCATCTTCAACTACCACAGCAGCATCGATGAAGAGGTCGCAGCTGGGAGGATGGTTTCCAGTACCCAAAAATGGTTTCACGCCAGCCGCGTTAGACTTCGGCTGCATGGAAAAAAGCCTCGCCGTGAGGTGCTTGTGTGTTCGCTCTTGAAACCACTCACCTTCTTTAGTTAGTGGATGCGGATACCGATGTTTGTACATTGGAGTACGCTGAAAGTACCAGAGTCTTGTCCTCTCCAAATAACATGGATAACGCAGACTGAGTTGTATTCAGCAATTCTCCGATGAAAGATAAATGTGTACAAAGGGCTCAATTTCTTTGAAAATAAATCTATTCCTGTCATGCATCTACGTTCTTTAACCACTGGCCTTTTTGGGATAACGGTTAGACGTAATTTGCATGATTAGAGACTGCATACACTTACTCGTTTGTATATTTTAGAACTGCTGAAGTTGTACGTTGAGTGTTTGAAGCCAAGATTTGAGGTTCACTTAAGAACTTTGGGCTTTTTGGTGAAGAAGTTTGGGTGCACTTTGGGACTTATGGGCTTGTCGTGGAAAATGCTTGGGAGCACTTCGGAACTTCTAGGTTTTTCGGGAAGATGCCTTGGTGCACTTTAGAATTTTTGAGATACTTGGGCAACACTTTGGGTGCACTCTGACAAATTTGTAATTATTGGGCAAAACGTTTAATACTTTCGGGCGCCATGATGCATTGTCGGCAGTTTTTCCAAATTATTTAGCGCTCTTTTTTATCCGAAAATTTCATGGTGCGCCCGACGTATTTTGCCGGCTGGGACGTATAGATGCAAAATCACCGGGAGCTAGACGATTCATCCCAGACTACAACCTCTCCAGAATTCATCGCTCCTATTGGGAGTGGTAATAAACGCCGTTTGCATCCAAACACCCAAGTCTTTCCAACCCTGACAACAACTCACCCAGAGACGAAGCTAACCGAAAGTGACCTCATATGACGCGCCAACTTGGAAGTCTTGGTGAATGGTTCGATGATGAAACCTCGTATATTCTCCAACGTAATATGACAACAGTAGCTGGATAGAGTTGCACTCCTGGCCTAATTTATTCATATGAATCTTTTTACAACATTTAGGCCTGCCCGTAAAAATGGCGGCAGTTACGCTGCCGCCGTTTGAACTATTAACTGTCTCAACGTCTACCTTCATCTACTACCAGAAGCACCCCCAGTGGGATCAATGTATACTACCTTTAAACCACATGGTGAACTGGAAGTGCATGGATTTAGGCACTCACCTTGGTTAATATAACTGTGGATACTTACTGATACTCCAGATAGCATAACTAGGCCCTTGTGGTTAGCAAAGCTAAAAACTGAAGAACTTACTAGTGAATAGATGTTTATATTACTAAATAAGAAACTATGCAAATGGGCTAACAACGTCGTCTGGTTATAACGCAAACTTCGAACATTGCGTGCTTTTGTCGTTGATGGTGGAACTTATCTGTGTAATGACAGATGGAAATCCATACCGTCTCTTGATTTGCAGCAAGTTTTAATAGGTCTATGCATATCAATAACTTGCTATGTGAGTTATATAATTCCCGGCACTATTCTGTAAACTTTCAAAATCATTTTGACGGTGCTTGTGAACTGGTATCTGTCATTATATGGAAATCAGAACTTTTGTTATCTTCGCTTTGACGCACCGCATATAATGAAAGTGGCATTTTCTTTGTCCCGTAACCACGATCTGATGTTTTTGTTAGAGTTGAACGACCTCCCCTCTATACTATTCAGGACCCGTAAAATCTCGTAGACTTTTCGACACATCAATGTGATGATGCCTGTAAACTGGCTTCTTTCATGTTAAATTACTAATGTGAGAATAAAAATTTATTTATTCAGTAGTGTTTTTGAACCAGTCGGGTGGTAGATAGGCAATCTGATAGCCAGGAAGCACGGGTTATGAACAGCCAGAGTGGAAAGAACCCCTCTTTAGTTGAGGTTGTTGAAGCACTTTGTGCTAACGTTGACGCGCGACCAAATGTTCCGTCGCCCAATCAAAATCCACAACTACAGGAACAACCTTCGAAATCATCCACTTAAGTTGATTTGCGGCACACGACCAACACTTGTTGATGGAAAGATTTTTATCACTACTAAATTAACTAAGAGATCCTGTTGCGTACATTTTGATCCAATCCTTTCTCAGTGCCCCTGAATGTTCTGCTGTGAGCAATAGGTGATTTTTCTTCTCAGTCTCCGATTTACTCCTACTTTGCAGTCTGAAATGCGGCAGATCATACCAACTACCATCGGGAAGAGAAAATGCAGCTAATAACCCCTCAAGTTTTACCAAGAAATTTTTCAGGAGTAACGTTTGGCGATTGCAGAATACCTCCAACGTATATCAACCCTGTAATGGCTTTGCGTTACTCATTCTTTATCCTCGGAGTGTATCGTATCTTCATATCTGTGGGGTTCTGTCCGGACCAGTAACAGGCCACATTTGTGTGACAACTGCCGTATTGGACTGTAATCGGTTCGCTAAAATTCCTACTTCTTGGACTTTGTTCCGAAAACTAATGGTGTCGATTTCAGCGCAAATTTCGTGCTTCCAATTGTCGGAATTGACACTGTGCCTGCCGCCGTTCACTGGAAAGAACTGCTTTTATTAAGACGGAACAGCCATTATGTTCACGCAGTAATAATTGACTAAGTTACACAAGAATAATCAGCTTCAATAAGATTACTTGTACGTGAAAATATTTATTGAAAAATGGGAAAAACATAAATACTGAGCACCTAGAACTCGAAGAAAGGTAACTGGACCCTGACTGGATTATTTCAAGTGAACTTACTGCTAGAGAGCTTCTGATGCTGTAGATGAAACAGAAAGGTTTTTTCGAGGGGTGAACGCCCTACTTACCACTAAAACTGGGCACAAAGAAGAAGAACCAAACGTTGACCTACTAAGCTTAGGTCAAGTTTTGACAAACAACTTTTGAATAGAGTCATTACAACGAAGGCCAAATCTTCCAAAGTGTGGAAAGTGCATTGCGAGAATTCGGCATGTTGTAACGTTAGCTAGTTATGGCCAGAATGGCATCAATGTTTATCATTCTGTTCAAAAGTAGGCGAAATCAGCAATTTTCGGCGTAATTTCAGCTAATATTTTCTCTTATTGCATTAGGTTTACTCAAGAGTAGTTCCACCACTGAATATTTAGACACATTCTGGGGAACTGTCTTCATTGACTTGAAGATGACGATTCTGCATTCATGAGAACAATTTTGCGGTCGGTGGTGGAATGATTATGCGCACGAGACAGAAAAACACTATGTGTGTTTATGTGTTTATGCTGCTTTGCCGAATACCCCATTTTGGTGCAACATGAATAATAGACTTCCCACTCAGTTACCTAGTAACAAGATGCGCGGCATGAACGTTGGAGCTGCTTCCAGTTTCTCTGCAAAAAGATGTGCATTCCTTGAGAAGTCTAGTGTGACACGGTTGTTGGTAGCTTCTGGAACATTTCACATTTTCCGCAAATTTTGTGTGGCAATACCTACTACCTTGTTATGACCCATATTGGTAAGATGTTTTGGTACATTAGGGTCATACCAGGGGAATTGCATCTTGGTTTCTTAGAGGCTGCATTGTACTTGGTTTGTGGTTGCCCATATGTACGACATACTATGAAAAGCATGAGTGTATTGGACGACGATGTAGCTGTGAGTCAAACTTGTCTTGACGAACTTATAACCTAGCATTTACGTAGTAATCATTTTAAACAACGAATGTAAACTAGAGCGAATGAATTTATAATTTTCTTATGCTTTTCCTTTCCCATACGGTCATGTATCAAGGTGATGGATGAAAAGGAATTTGGGATGAATCACCAAAGAACACTTTTGGGGCATAATAGATAGGTAGAACCTAGTTTTTACAGTGATGGGTGTTTTCGTTTGGATCCGCATGCCACTTTTCACAAGGTTCTTGGGGTATGCTAGGAGGATGATAAGTTTGTATTATTGAAATGCTTCGTTAGTCAAATAAATATGGGTGGGTTTGTGTGAATATCTCGCACAATACTGTAGCAGTTATGTCTTTGTAACTAAGTATGGTTTCTCGTCGACGTCCCCATTCTATTTGTCGGAATTACTGGAACGCCATTAACAGTCGGTGTTCCAGTAATCTATGAAATTTGTCTTTGTTCTACGGTCTTAATGGGCAATCATGTTACGCACTTCAATTTCACAGCTAGTGAAGACGGCTTGTGTGCAATCTTCCCAATGCCAAAGTACATCCCATGAAAAATCTTATCTATAATTCCTGTCACAGGGTTTCAGTTCTTTTGTCACGTCAATTCTTAGCTCATTGGGGGTAATTATAAGGTTATAGGCACAAAACCCGCCTTAAACCTTGTTAAACTGCAAACACTTTACCTGGTAACAGAATCCTCTTCGAATAACCTGAAGATATATTGCTTTACGAATAGATTTCATGTCTTCTAATATCATGCACATAACCATCGACTTAGTTCTGGGCGCGAAGGAATCAACTTGTATGTGCATTGAGTTTTGAATTGAAGTACAGTTTTCGAATATAAAGCTACGGTGATGTCACTAGACCCAAAATATGCAGACTTACCTTGGATTGTAAGTGAGAGGATATAAATCTTACATTTGACCTTAGGCACATGGACAACCAGATGTCTACGAAGCAGGAGAACTCCCAGAGGCTGATCAGAAGTTGAACGTAAGTACATTATTAGTATTGTTACTTCTGAAGGACTCTGTAGTGGACACAATAACTCCGAAGGAGATCGAGATTGTCAAGTTGTCGGTGTCCGAAGCTCACAAGAGATTTGCTGGTTGTAAAGTTGATGCTTCTAATGTGGGTTAGTACCGCGATTACTGAAATTACTGCAATTACTGGTAAGACTTTTCAGACTGTATATCTGGCAACGGGAAGATCGGGTATGCAGTTGAAACAGATCAATATGAATTCGTAAGGTTCAAAAATTTACTGTAGCTCTGCAGTTTTCTCCTGACTCAAGGGACCAGGAATCACTCATGAAAAAATTTCAACGTTTGCAAACTGAAACCCATCAGCTAATCAGTGATATAAAAGCTATATCTGATCAAAGTGATGCAGATCCTAAAGATCCTATTGATGCCTCTAAACTCCTATCTTGTGCGGAAAACCTGTCTGAAAAATTATCAGAAATTCAATCCACTGATTTGTCTGCAATCTGTCTGGATGCTTCCGATTCTGTTGGGAGGACTTTACATAGGTAAATTTCTGTTAATACCAAGTGATGTAATAATATTGCTGGTAAACATATCGATTTTTTTATATCTCTTGGGTGTAATGCATTGGCGCGTTTAACATTTTAACTCATTTTCATTCCAAAGCAAGTGTACTTTTAGTTTGTCTCTCAGCTGCTAGACATTGTTAGTTGTTTCTAAAGTGTAGCAGACATAAAATAAAGGTCATCCTTTTTTCCATCCCTTGTAAAATACATTCAAAATTTCACCTAGAAATCCTAGTCAAAGTCGTAATGTATTATAGTTCAGACTAAGATACTTCAAGTTTGGTATCCTGAATCCTTTTCCATTTATCTTATATTTGTGAATGATAATCAACTGTATATATACCTACCATTAACGTACACTTCGAATTGTTTTCGATACAATCGCCTCTGCGACTACGACATAAATTTGATCCGACTTTATTGTAACGAATCGATACATTTCAATGCAAATCACTGTAGTTACGTCAATCTAGTTCCCATCCTACTTATAAGAGTCAGTGAGCATTTGTAGACTGGTGAAGTGCCTAGGCAATATATCCTCAATATAGGTATACTAGCTGGTGTATTAAATCGTTAGTCAGAAGTAATGGGAAGGCTAACAACAAAGTTCTGCTATTTAGGCATAATTCAATTGTGTTTTCAATCTGTGGTCCACGAATTAGACTTCAGTTTTGAAACTAATCAGCCCAAGGCATGTGTTTTGAAATTATTGCTGGGTGTGTTGACTTATCAGTTCGAGCGAAACGCGTAACTCACTGTGTCATCTCATACAGAATTGCAAGTTACACGTGCTCTCTAGGTCAGAATTTTCGTCTGACTCGAAACACGTTTCTATGGGTGGATAGGTCTTCAGAGTTGTCGCATCTGTAACTTCCAGAAGACATTTTCAACCCAGTGTTTCGGTGCTGTTGAGTTTCTTACAGTTAACGCTGTCATCCTGACTTAAGGTAACTGCGTATTCAAATAATTCATAATTGCAGAAATATAAAGCTATCAAATTCTCAGTCCCAAAAGTTTATCTCTTTTACCCCATGTGGGTGTTTACACTTTAATTTACATCCTATGTGAATAACTCAACGAAGGGTGTTTTTATGCTATCTTTTCTAAAGCGAATGTGTGACCATCTATTCAATTAATATGAATGCCTTGCATTAAGGTTCAAAAGATTGAATATCACTTATTTATCCTGTCTCATAAATTCAGTGTACTTTTATGCCGTTCTCCGCCTACTCACTTCCCTTTCTATGTCGTATGCTGTGGTGATTCCATGCGAAGTTCTGCACTAACATGTTTCTGTCTGTATTGTTACGTTACTGGAACTTTTCTGTAGCCTGAATGGATAGTAACGTAAATCTATAAAGCTACTTGTGACTTTAAATGATCAGTTGAAGCGATTCTTGGTACTAATTGGAAATGTTAAGCCTATATTGTTCACCACTAGTAAGAATTACTGCCATTCATTCTTGACGACCGAAATTTTTTTAGTTTGAGTTAGCAACTAATCAATACTGTTTCCGAAGTTTATTGAGGTTGAGAAAGACTACTGCAATTTATACTTTTAGCACACAAAAGTGACGTGTTTACGTTTAAAGCTTGTACGAATCAACTGATTTCAAGGCGGTATTCATCATAGACTGAAATACTGTCTAGTGCTCATTAGTGACATGCTTCGAGATAAAATCTCCCGGAGTTTCTGTCAGAAGTCCTGACTTATGTGGCAACGTTAGTTGGACGTGAAAGCAAATATTCAACCGTGGCAATGCATGATGATTGCACTACACCGCGAATTGGCAAGTAGGAAAATGGGGATCTTTGGGTCCCCACCTGCTGACTAAATGGTAACATGCTCACCGCAAGACCTAAAGGTCCTGGGTTTAACCCCTGGTGGGGTCATGAATGCACACGTCTAGGGGATCTTATGCTAAGAAGAAACGATTTTTCAGTGCTCCCAGGTTTTCAGCGGTACTCCAACTGATATCAATCCGTGGTTTTTTCTGTCTGTCTGATGAATCCATCCTTGAAAAGTAATATCATCATCACAGGACCATGAAATACTGCGTAATGGTCCGAGTTGCTACAGCTCATATCACCATATCAAGTAAAAAGGCAGTGAGGTGCGAGATGAAGATACGAAAATTCAGTCAAAAGAAATACAAAGTACTAAAAGAGAGAAAGGAAGAATGAGAAAATGGTGGGATTCGATAAAGCGTTAAGATTAAGATAATGTGTGTATACATCTGCGCCACTGACATCGGTTCTGAGCCATATCACCTAGACTATATTTACTGTACTAGGATAATAAAATTGGTATGTGTAGGCTTTGATTGACGACGAAATGCATACATAGAATTGTAGTTTGCTAGCTAAGTTCATTATTATAAGACAACGTTTACTAGACCAAGCTGTAAAGCCTCCGTCAAGTGTTTCATCGCAGTTACGACTAACTGGCACACACTATCTGAGAATTAAACAATTGACACTTCTCGTCTCTTCCGTGTTTATCTTTTCTGGTTTCGAAATTCTTCTGCTCTCAAGAGGTATATTTCCCAATAATGTGGGTGTGTATTTATTTTTATTTCAGGTCCACCTGTAGGAGTTTAGTCTCCAACCGTATACCTAACCTATGCAGTGCTGAATATGAAGTGTTTTCTGTCATAAGAGTTTGAAAGCACTAGAGACCCAGTTAGATTTTAAGTTTGTGTAGAGCGTCACAGTTCAAATTATAAACCTAACCTTTTTCTGTCATATGAATTTTAATAAACCAAACATCACTTTGTCATCGGAACGATAATTATCCAGATGACTAAAATGTCTCACGGTCTGTTAAACCGATATTCGGTTAACATTTCGTGTGTGATTGGTACAAAATTTCAATTTTTTACGCACGAGGGTTAAAGCAGCATGACTAATTTTTCAATCTTACTATTCGGAGTAATATCGCAATATCACTTTTGATAATAAAAAAGCAGGTATTGTTGTTGCTTGTATTCATGCTCTGTTTTTACTCATAAGTGAATTAATTAATGATTTCCACAAATTCTAGCAAAATTTTAAAGCAGATTGATGAGTTTAAACCAGAAAAACCGGCGTCCAGAAGTGCAGATAATTCAAATCATCTGGTTTATGAAATATATGATCGCAAAAGCATTACCAAGCAGGCAGATGAAGAGAAAGTAAGTGTTTGTGCATCTAGATAATTCTGAATTGATACGTTGGTGAACATTCCACAATGAATGTATCGCTTAGGTATCTAAGTGATTTTTACTTGCAATGTTAAAACTTTTCTTGTTGTCTCCTGAAGGAAGCAGCTTTACTACGGAGTTTTTTTTTAAACGAATGCATAGTACTGCTTCATATTAAATTATGTACTCATTATTTAAACAGATAATTATCCATTAGTTTTCAGAACTGAGAATTGATTTACGTCTTTTAAGATGAGTCGTGTAAAGTCTCATCATGCTCTGTAACCACACACGTACCCTTACCCATGTAAAAAACTAACCAATAAGCGCTTCATATTACCGATCAAATTTCGTACAGTGTGATGCTTGAGTTTAATTTAACAATCCGTTCAAGCTATGTTGACTTGAGCTCTTACTCCTTGTAGTCGCAACACAACTTAGGTCGATTGGAGGGCAGTTACTTCGAGAGTAGATACCCTCAGGTTAGTCTAAAGGGACTTGAATGTAACAGTCAGTCATCAGCATAAGACCCAACAATTCTGTATAACCATCTGAGCTGCTACGTGTTACAATAAATTATCAACATGCAAGGCAACAAAAGATGGAGAAATGAAAATCTAATCAGAAGTAGAGGACCACAGGAAGATGATGAGTTAAAGACAGAGACTGGTATGACGTTAATGATGGTAGATGAACGATATGCCTGTGTATCTACGCTCACGTTCAACATATAATGTGGCATTACTGCTTAATGGCCTAATTTACCACATCAAGATGAAAGATAGAGAAATAAGAAAGAAAGTAGTCAAAATGATAAGAAGTTTTTAAAAGGCAACGAATGGAACAATAATGAAATTCGATACAACGATCGAGATGAAGACGATGTGTAGATGCCCTGAATCGCTGTCATTGATACTGAACCATGCCACATAGTGTCCAACCATTGACTTCGGTTGTAAATCAGACGCCAGCCAGAAACTCTACATTTACATACAGGGCTCAGGCTAATAATCAGAAACTTGTCGTCGAATCATACAACCTATTGCAATATTACACTGTTTCACTTAACGTAGCGTATCGAGATAAAAGAGTGACTAGACGTGCGCAGATTCCCGAGCCACTTCAATGGATAAAGGTTTATGAACTCGTTATCCGATTTGTCCGTTTCACTCAAAACTACCCCCAATGTCTACATTGTTCACATATGGTTCCATAAAATATTTGCTATGGTATCAGTATGAAGTAAACATCGTCGAATATGTGAAGTCTTCTCATATCCTCCGTGTTCAGTAGCCATGCAGTAGACCCTGCTATTAGTCAGCAGTGCCGTAGGTTAGCAAAAACCTTCGGTAGTCAACATGCTCAACCACTTCACTCTCTACGTGCATATGAGGCGTCAACACAGAATATTCTTGTAACAACAACAGCAACAACTTTTATTTGAAACAAGAGCACTGTATTCTGAGCATTTTTAACCGTTCACTCAGTTTCAGAAGGTTTCCTACTTTGCAAGCGTTTCATAACAGTTCCATGTCGTCTGTGTACTCTAATTTTTCCAAGGGTTCTCTTACGGAATGTTTAATCCCTGTCACGTCAGGAGAGAGAATGACTGCCATAGGGAGGTTTATGTAAAAATGCAAATGAATGGAGGCACAATAGACATCATTGGTGAACGGTGCTCGACGTGAACACGATTACGGGTGTCCGAGTATATCACCTTCAGTTGAGTTATGCATTTGCCATGCACCTCTTTCAGTGAGAGGCACTGCACTAAGACCTGTCGATCAACCTAGTTGAGCGCCACCCACCGGCCAAGAAATACGAATACTGTCAAGCTTCAACAGGTATATCTGTGTTCTGGGCTTTGTGGAGGGTGTCAGGGTTGGGTTGATTCACTCACGGTGACACGTTAAACTCACCTGGTTTTATTGCATTTGCTATCCCGTAGCTCCAGTCAGGTTTCAGACGATTGCAGAAACTAGAGTTTCAGATATTATGGTAGGCTGACTTATCTGTGGTGATGCCTTCCCGCTTACCATAACACCTACTTGTGTATTGAAGTCGCTCGCTGCGACAGCCACATCGGGAATTTTGACTCTATGTCAGAGGAGTTAGACATTTTTCGATGAAGCTAATGTTTCACATAATCCTAACTGTGGTCAGTGGGGCATGATCGAAAATCACAAATGTCGTTGTGTCACTGTCCTTTGTAGCTCTAAATATATTGTGAGCTATTCTGAAAGGTACTTGTAATGAAAAGTATCCCACAGGGACATCTAGGTTCTTCGTTTTTATACGTGATGCACTTAGCCACCTTGGGCACGTCCGTGCCAGTGGGCAATGAACAATACTTATTATGTGAGGGCTAGTGATACTACATATTTGGCTGCTTAAACCTCGGTAGGTGAGGTGGCGTTCAAAGCCGTGACCCATTGGTAGGTAACCGTCTCTCTAAAACCCCGAGCCACGGTTCCACTTCCTATTGATAGTGTTTTACCTATGGAGATCATTTCTACTCGTACCTGTTTTTGTACATGGTTTGTTTACTGGAGACTCCTTAATAGACTGATTGAATGTGGACTTCAGAGACCAACTACTCATTCGAGATGCTGACAACACATGGGTTCTTTTGAACAACATGATTGGTAATGAAAGAGTTCTTAAAATCCATTTATATTTTTTTTAAACTGCTTACTGTGGTGATTTTCGTCAAATGGTTTAGAATTTGGGGCACACGATATAGTATTTTCTAGCCCAATGACTAATGAGAATAAGTTTGTGAAACGTTAATAAATAAGTATTCCTGTCACTTTCAGTCAAGTTCCATATTCGGTAACCAGCTAACTAAGAATTCACATATTCGTCATCGATGTTTGCTTTTTGACTATCTGCAGGTGTCTACCGAGTTCACTTTGTACTTTCTGAATGCAATTAGTTCTTTTAAACTTCTCCATTCTAACGATTTTCTTGTTTTTAATACGATCTGGTTTTTGCCGATACTTTTAACAACAGTGACTGAAGTAGTGGAGCGCTTCGAAACTGTACATGTCTATGAGACATTGCTACTGAACACGGAGGATATGAGAAGACTTCACATATTCGTCGATGTTTACTTCATACTGATACCATAGCAAATATTTTATGGAACTATATATGAACGATGCAGATATTGGGGGTAGTTTTGAGTGAAACGGACAAATCGGGTAACGAGTTCATAAACCTTTATCCATTGAAGTGGCTCGGGAATCTGCGCACGTCTAATTACTCGTTATCCCTATAATCTACGTTAGCTGAAGTGGGTTTAGTCTCGAAAATGCCATATATGACGAAACTGGTAAAATCAACGGAGAATCCCTCCCGGAATCGAAACGCTTGAAGTTACTAGACTTCAGAGCAGAATGGAAACAACGAATTTAGTTGAGGTCAACTGAATTAATAGTAAACATGGCTGTGCACGCAAAGGAATTCGGAAACTGAACTTCAGAGATTGAGAAAGATACCGTCTTGAGACTCGTACGTGGACATCAACCCAATTCGGACACAGATAGACGATGTTCCTCTCAAAACTGCTGGGCCAGTGGACGAGGACATCTACGCACAAATACAAAAGGCTCGTTTGACTTTCGCAAAGTAAGACTATCTATGACGCCGCCGTGATGCTTGATTGCTCATTAAGGGTTGACTATACTCCACTGCAGTTCACTCTGTTCTACTTGAAAATGACCATTAAAAGTAGAAGGAACGAGACGACTTCAGGAGTTCGACCACCATTGCCTTTGTGGCATAGGTCGTCTCGTGGATTACCGTGTCAGTACCATAGAAGTCAGGCGTAGAGTTTTAGAGAGGAGACGGAAGTCAGTTGATAAGGCTGTGAACTCTCATCAACCAAGATGGTTGGGATGTGTTACGCGACTTTAGTTAGCATCTACACCCTCGTGCTGTTGGTAGAAATAGGATTAAGATGAAAAGAATCAGAAACAGCCAAACTAAACCAAGGAATCAATCCATGAAGTCTCTGCCTATCGGTGTGAGTTGCCACGGAAATTCGGAACTACCGACTGGGATCCATGTGACAACGGGAATCGGTGGTTACAGACTGGATTGCATGGTTCACAATCGACGTCACTGGTGCAGACGTATCCACACGTACATTGTCTTCATCCTGATTGTCGTGCCGCATTTCACCACTGCTCCATCCCATCTTATTCTCTTTTCACGACGTTTTACCAATCGGACTGCTTTCTTCTCTATTCCTCTGTCTTTCATCTTGGTGCCACCTGCCTTGATTGCTAATATGTGTGTGAAGTTGGACTGTTTTATGCAGAAATTCCAGGCCCCATGTTAATGCTGACCGACTGACTTCTCGTTGTTGGATAGCCTCAAAGGTGGATTTAGGTTTGAACTTTGAGGAGTTAATGGGAAGGCAATCGAAAATGGAATTACAGCTGAATAATCTTCAACAGAAATTGCTGGATCTCGTAAAACAAAACTTTGCTGGTTGATACCCTTAATATGAAGACAGCAACACAGAATGTGGGTATCACACCACCATCCTTGTAGTTCATAGGCAGTTGCTGAATATATTCGAGCGACATGACATACTGAGGAGCGAAGCCTCCCAAAGTTGTCCCGTTTCACAGACAAAACAGCGAGTATCTGAATAAATTTTCATTTTATGAAAAAAGAGGCCATTAACCAGTAGATAACATGAAAGTCAAAAGTGGAGGAAAAATTAGTCTCAAAAAACAACTGCAACCCCAACAATTATTGATAAGCACCACTATGTCCCTTGAAGGAGTTATTTAGAATCTTGTGCGAAATGTGATTCTATTGTTGAGAAATTCTCCTTTATGACTTCCATGTTCTTAACAACGTTGATTTGCACCTAAAATGAGGTTAAGGCAACATAGCGAAACTCACCTCTTCTAAAAGTTTGGCATAAGAAGCCAGGTTTCCTTCTACATTTTTCTGGCTTGATTCAATGGTGTAGAGAGATTGACTGAATTGGGAAGCTAAATATCAAAACAAAATGCTGTTCACGATTAGTTAACTAGTACATTGATGGACTGTCTGACAAAATCAACATATCACCTTCCACACAGGTATTATCGACTTAAGTTGCAACGCCTAATAGGAGTACACAAAGAACAGGTGGATACAAAAAGAGTGATATCAAAGTAGATAAAGTAGTGTCATGAGATAAACAATTTAAAGATAAAGGACAGTGTGAATATTCAAGCTTTAGATGTCAAGGAGTGAATACGTGGATAAGCCATGTGATAATATCAGCGGAACAGATGCGCTTCTCTCTATGTGAAGGATCCCCCTGACCGGCTTAAAAGTGAATGTGTATGATCGATGCACCTTCATCCAAGTCTGAAACCTCCCAGATTTTCTGCAGCTTGCTGTTCTTCGAGACCCAGTTAGACCCCAGGATCTTGAACATAATATTAGTTAAAGTGACCCCTCATGGTTGTCACAAGAAGCCCTCTGCTTTCTTACAGACTGGAATCATCAGTGAAGCAGATCACACCTCTGTTTCTCATACGCTACCTAGTACTTCGTTACTTGGTAGTTTCCTACCTCTTTCCTGGCGAACCGCCAGGTCCTGCTGCTTTGGATCGTTTCAGATTAAAAAAATCTCAACTGTGAAGAGATTTAGATGACCGACATTCGTGTACCATTCAGGTCGGATGTAGATGTTGGGCAACTGAGGCCTTGGTGTGATCCATTTGAACTGTTATTCAAAGTTCCGCTTAACGTTCTAGTCGCCTGTCCAGAGAGATTATCACGGACATACTTTTTTGGGCAGTAGTTTTACTAACCATCGTCTTCTTGCCAGTATCTTGAATAAGCCAGAATGATTACCTAGTATTACGCAATGCTTATACCTTCAATTCTCTTGCTTTCGCCATCCACCGCCGCTCGAGATCACTTCGAAGGCTCTCAACCAATTTACCTGTGAGCTGATTCCACTGCTCATTTTGGTCAGAGCCAGCTGGAATTGATCTGGCATCAGTCATTTCGAATTAGGTCGTTGAATTCCATTGGTTTTTGCTTACCTTTGGATACAGGTTACCAGCTGCCTTGGCCTGTTTCTACGGTTGACAAAACATTACGTTTCATAAAGACGAGAACTGATACCATTTTCAAATAAGTGCTTCGTTATCTACTCCCTTAGTACACACCACTTTCTGTCCTTTCAGTCGAGCACGTAGAAGCTGCGCTACTATCTGTTTCCTGCGACCATTAAGGTGCAAATTTCACTTTCACAAGGCGCAAATTTGTACGTGCCCGTGCTAACGCAAGGTTGGACTCCAAGCATGTACTCCAGAAAGAGCCGTAATCCCGCACCGATCCTCTCCAGTGATTGCTAATTTCAACAAGAATTATCTGTGTCCGCCATTGATTTGATGTAGGCATATGCCACTTGAGACAATGTGTCTCCTTATATTTGGTGGTCAGAAACAAGTTTTTGTCAGAGCAGAATTACAAGAGATGATCACCATTGGCGGTTCATCAGCACGGTATACCTTAGATACCTCGAAGACGCCTTTATAATTGACTCAGCTTTCCTGCTTAAGGGTTGAAATCGCCTCCCAGTATGATTATGTCTAAACGTCTCGCTTTATGTGACAAAACTGACATCTTTTGATAGAATTCATCATTTGCACCATCCAAATTGCAGTCAGTGGATGCCTAAACGGAGATTGTGAATAGACACCGGCTAGTCTGACTATTCTTACTAGTTCTTACAGATGCATTCAGTCGAACGATACACAGACGGCTGTTGACCAGTATCCATTCGAGAGGTGCTTTTTCTGCTCGTAAACTTGATGCTATACGCACTCCAGCGAGTTCATAAGAGCTAGTCATTGGATGTCCTGACAATTGTGTAGTTAGTTTTTGCAGATTTACCAAATTAGCTAGGCGAAGTCAGAAAAATAACGTCACTGGTGATTTTTGTATGCAGAGCCTATGGGGCATCTACTTGAGGCGTGTCAGCCACGGTCTTTATGGAATTGCTGCATTGAAACTGTGCTGACGCTGAATAAATGTTGATACAACCGCCACCGTAATGCCTCAAGACAAGGAGGAGAGTGATGTTTTGAAGACTGACTTTTACTAACAACTCCATCCCAAATGGAAAGCAGCATCAGCATAACACTACTGGTCATCGGTGAGAAACCTATAACTGCTTTCACACGCTCCGTCTTACCAGCAGTATAACTTCACCCTCGAACCCCTATTATAGCATAGAAATTTACGATATAGCGAAAGCTACTTTTTATCTTACTGCTATCCAACAAACCCTTCTGGTATGATACGACCTCGAGGGAACAAGCGTCCTAGCCAGTATGGTTCATTTGATCATTGTGATATGCATGTCCGATTACCACTTCAAGGTAGCAGCTATCGGTCGAGAATATTTTTTCCAGGACCTCTGTAGCAATTGCGGTTTAGATATTTATAATCTTTTCATCTAACTGTCTAGTTTTAGTGTCTCTCTGAGAGTGACACCTCTCAAGCATACTCTGTTACCAAATATTGTCCTTGCAGTATTTTCTAAGTACTTTTAGTTCTCAAACTACTCAGTAGTGGACCTTCTTCGAAACTTATGATCAAACTGCAGCGTGTCAATTACTAATTCTGAGTCCAGGCATTGTAAAATGTCCTCTTCACGCGTTTGAAAATCCAAGAATTTAAGGCTTGCACCTTTCATCTATAGGATATGGAGTGATATCATAAGAATGGTCTGTGCCCATCCATAATTTGACCATAGGGATTAAAATTGATGTAAAACTTGATTAGTTCACCTATGTAGTGACTTGCATCACCTTTGGTATGCTGCTAAACAACTAAGAGGTTGGCACACATGGAAGTCTTAACAGTATTTTGAATTCGTGCTACTTACATTGACAGCTTATTCGAGGTGGACATGGATATGAAATACAGTCGTTGTTGCTTATTTATTTGTGAAAACTAGAGTTATCTGTCTGACATTACTTTCGAAACATCGTTCATTTATAGTCAAACTAATGAAGAAGCAGTATAAAAGTAGGTCTTTAGGTAAGGGAACCATGTCTTGTAATTGCAGATGATGTTGAGTCTGATGAATACAAAACGAATCTGCTTTTTTGATATTCCAGAGAAAGAGGGATTCGGCAGTTAGGAAAACTTGTGTTGACTCAAAACCTATTACCAATTTGTTGTTGGTCTTCTTCTTGCTACGAGAACTAAACATATCCTCAATCTGATCCCATCTGCCTTTTCTCCATTTTATTGGTTTTGAAGTTTATTAACTGGAAGTGATATACTGCTGCTTTCACTTCTAGGCTCTTCTAATCAGTCGGTTCAATGTAGTGTCAGTGATGATTCGAACCTACCTGAATTTTTTTGTTATAGTCACATTACTCATCTTATTGTACATTTTAGTGTCCTTAGGTAACTGAACGTCTCCCCACATCCTCTTCTTAACATTACCATATGGTAATAGCAGAGTTTTTTTCGTTTAGTCAAGAAATAGCGGTCATCCCTTTTGATAAAAAGAATACCTATTTCCCTAATATGATTGCATAAAAGTATCCCTTCCTGTAAGTTTCTGAAATAGAACTTTTGATTCCTAGATGGCAGATATTGATCGTCGAATTCATCGTATCGAAGCTCTCATTGGTCAGCCAGATCCTAATAGGCTTTCTGCCTTGACGGCAGACACAATGACTCACGGTCTTTTGGAAGCATGCTCACGTTTGTCTGCTCGTTCATCTTTGTTCCAACAAGGACATCTTGACATGATTGAAACGCGCTTAACATCATTACAGGCGAAGTTACAGGCTGTTACAGAAAAGCGAGAGGCTATCGCAGACTATGACATGCAAAATAAAGTAAGTTTTTAAAATAAACTCTACTACTTTTAAAGTTTGATTAATTCATTTGGTTAGTTTGTATTTTATATATATTTGTATCGAGTTCAGATTAAATGTTTTCTATTTATGAGAGGTAATCATGAATAACTGTCATTTCTGTCTTCGCTTCAATGCAGTCCTTCAGTTAAACAGATATAGCTTCTTATGCAACATAAAACCGGTGCTACGATAATTACACTTTATCAAACCTTTATGATTCTGGTCTGCGGATTTTCTACTAGATAAGTTTTAATAAATGTTAGCACAGTGATCAGTGTTCTTCAAAATTTGTCAATATTTCGAACAGAATTAAAGGGCTGTTCATTGTCTGTACACATTTATTTCAAACTCATCTCTAATAAGTTGGCTCATTCTATGATGCAACAACTTTCAACGAAATATTGCAGCCTATTGTTATTGTATAGCATAGTATAAAAGTAATATTTAGAGTAAGCATAAACATGGTGTTACTCAACTACTTTCATGTTTTTTTATGAAAGTATTTGACACATTGCTCCATAAAAAGATATGCTGTACTGGAAAAAGTGAGTGTGGGAATATAAGGGGATGAAAATCACATTCTCCTAGTAATAACGTTGAACTGAACTATCCCAAAATACGAAGGATTATAGATTTCACCCAATGTTGTTTAGTTTCTTAGAATTCATCTTCCTGTTTAATTAGATAGCAGAAAACAACATATTGGTCTCATCAATGCCCTCAATTTTAAAGCATATACAGCACATGGGATCCCGTTGGACAAAATTCATTAAAAACACCTAAGTCATCTAAAGTAATGCTGTTGAATGGCTTTACCAGCTAAGAAACAACCATCAATATGCCAGAATACATTCTGCTTTGTATCTCATGATTAGTTTTAAAGTGCTGTCACTGAGTGCTAGCCACCCCACAAAAAACTTTCAAATACTGGTACGGGACATTCTCGGTTTAGAAGGGCGTATTTTAAAGGTAGAGGGAAAAACGTTCCCCGTTAAAGCCATGTACACCAAACGATCTATGTCTATCCGTATATGCTTTTTATCTGGATGTTCTGAAGTGTGATATAGAAACGTAGATCAGTATAGTTATGCCACATCCTATGTTAATATTGAGTGACTATTTTACATCCACAAAAACCTTGTGATGGGTAAGAGGTAAGGCAAATTAATATGTAGCTCAGGCTTTCACTCAGAAGAAAATTCCCATCCTTCAAAATAATCAGTAGTTTCACTTCTATAAAGGTGCAGAAACTTTTCGAGTTCCTAATGATTTATCACGAAAAATGAGTGTGGCTACATTATCCCTCGAATCTTATGAAAGTGGTTTACATCGCGATAGTGTAAAATATACACTATACTGGTGGAAATTAATAGTCATCTAAGTGTAATTTGTGCAGCTTACCCGCTGTTACAGTGAGGCAATGTTTCCCGTATACTCAAAGTAAGCAGTCTTTATCTAGGTAATGAACCTACACCATCACTGTTCTCACTTCAGACTGTCTTCGAAATGTTGACGATCAAGCTTAAAGAAGAGTCGTAAAACAGAGCAATCGCATCTAACTCTAACTTGAAACAGTGAAAACAGACTTTTATGCATTCATCTAACTTGAAATATTTCTGTATAGAACTGTAGGGGTTGCTAGTTGTGTTACTATTACGTAACGCCTAACCAGTCCTACTCAACTCAATGTGCTCTAGTACCTTACCTGACGTGTAAATACTGGAAAGGAAACACAAATCAAAAGGACTGGTATTCAGGAATGTATTCACAGAAGCAATATATTTGATTAGCATAAATGTGGTAGTAATTATTAGGGGAAAAGTTTATCCCACTTATCTGACTAGTATGGCTGAACCAAGGATTCTGAGGATGCGCTTGTCAATCATCACAAAAGAAGCGCAAAATTGTGTCGAAGCCTGCTCGGATGCATGCCCGTTAAAACAAAACTTAGGACACCTTAGGCATCTGGAGGCCAGCTAGAGGTTTATTTAGTTAATTTTGTTTAACCTACTCATTTTAGCTCTAGTTTTTTTTGGTGTCAGGAAGGTGCACTAAAAGTGCACCTTCAAGTTTTGATACATCTCTGAGGACATCCTTTCTTAGCAAATGGTGATCCATACTAGGTATTTTTAAGAAAACAGAAACAGTCGTGACGTCAGTAAACAACTGTTTTTGGCTGGTAATGAGTGGGAGATAAAGAATATGAGGAGGTTCACTAATGTTGACTACGGAAGCTTGTGCTTACTAAAGTAAATTGAGAAATACACAAATTCGATTATCCGACCTAAATTCCACTTGTTGGGGACTGTTTTGTGTACCTAAACATTCACGTTTTGTACTTGGGTTTTGCAGCAGTGGTAGTCGAGCGTACTTAGTTGATGATAGAAAGAACACGATTTCCATCTCATTGAAGTAAATGTGGAGGTTACGAAAAGCCTGGTTTGTCTTACCATTTACTTTAGATTCTAAATGGAAGTTCTAGCACGTATAGAGGATAGGGAAGAATATTCACTCGAGCAGCTCTTCTAAAGCCCTAACAGACATTATAACACTAACACTGGGAAAACTGATGCCATGGGATCTGGGATTAATGCAAATGAAACAGTTTTTAAACCGAAAGATGGGCTTTTCACAATGCTGAATCGTGACCATGAATGCAGTCTTCGAGATGAAGCGCGGAGATCACAACTTCCGGATTTGTGTAAAAGCGTTAGAGATGAAAAGTTTAAAGGTCCTTTCGGATAATATGGTTACACGCACCCATTCGTATTAAATGTTCGGGTTTCATTCATTGAAACAGCCACTCCTTAAGGTTGTAGCACCCGGTTGATTCCGATCACGAAGTAGAGCGCGAACAGCATCAAGGTAAACTAGTTAGAATTCCCTGTAATGGTCGCCAGCAGTGATCGATGGCGAAAAAGATGGTGTCAGGACTATGTAATGGTCGGAAGTTACTTAGATTTGTTAGAGAGGCTGGTCAAACAAAGCAAGTATTGAACTCCGTTGGTCAAGAAATTGTGACAGTGCCCAACTCACAAAAAACTAGTGAAAAGATATGCTAATTAGTAAAGTTCATGAGGGATCGATCGGTTTGCTATTCAAAGAGCATCTGGTTGGCTCTACATTTGTGATCTGAGTGAATATGCTGAAGTCAATTTTTCTAAAGGCAAAACGAGTTGATTTATCATGCATTCTATACTTCTGGAACATCGAATGTAGCTACAAGAGTGGTCGTCATCAAGTTTAAGTGGTCAAATCTATTAACTATTTCGTTTTGTGAAAATTGGAGCCGAATGTTGTATATTCAAGTTTATGAGACATACAATCCATCAGTGCATACTTGTAAAACCTCTATGATTGCTGAAGTAAATTTCATGAATTCTTTGGTGTATTGTGGATTTTAATCTATACACCAACTCAAATTCCTTTCATGTGTAGCGTAAAAATACCCACCATTATAATTCCGTTACCTTAGTTCATAACCAAAACACGATCAATACTGATAAAACTGTTTGCTGTTTTATCATAATGTTAATACACCTAGTTCATTTGCAAATAAAAGTCATCCAATCCATTCAGTTTGGTTTGTGGAACTCAGAAACTATTTTATTGATTATTGGCTGGAGAATGTGAAGTTTTATCTCCATTGATTTAAAGTCGACTTCCAACCAGCGGGTCACGGGTTCGAAAACTCCTAAACCTACCGAGGTTTGACCAGTCAGGTAGTATCACTAGCCCTCACACAATAAGTGTGGCTCATCGCACAAATGTGTGCAAGGTTAGTGAGCGGCGTTTGATGTTCGAAGTATAAAATGTAGATAAATCAATTTTATTTGCTGTCTAATAAGAAATTTCCATAGCGTAACTAGATCTTTTTATCGTCTCATTTTAGATAGCAGAACTTTATGAACTTGTAAAGAAGTGGAATGATGTGGCCGATAGTTTGCCGATGATAGTGGAGCGACTTAGCACCTTGAAATCATTACATGAAGAGGGTAAGCAGAATTACGTATTTTGGCATAATTTACTCTAATGGATTCAAGTTTTCTCTGAAGGATTTGTTGGTTCGCATTAAGCTTGTGAACACTAATTATTTTTACCACCAATATACTTTTATTAGGTCACTCCCATGTGACTTAATGATGTACTTATAATAGTGTCTGGGTAAAATTGTACGTGTGTAAACCAGAGAATATTGGAATGACATGTGCATTTTTTGGATGCTTTCACATCCTAATTCCGCATTTCCATAACTTTCCAGTTCCGTTTACAATTTATATGCAATCTGAGCTTTGATATTTACCGCAAACCTTTCATCAAGCTTGGTGATATTGAAGGAAAAAGGCAAATGATAATTTGTGTATTACTGATAAAATATAACCTTCCGTTGAAATACCAATTTGCACAATATTTAAGTTCCTTTTCTTCTTCTATCTCGTCTTGCTCTTGATACGGCCACATCATCTTTTGCGCTTCTCTGGGCAGAATTTTTATCCATCGCTCATAATTGCCTGGATTCTTCCGGCCTCTCAACATATACTACATATATGCATTCTTACCAGCAGCACCCACTACAATATCATCAGTACTACATAGTAAAGTGGGACATGTTCAGACGTCAAAAGTAGTGTCGTTGCTGACCATGAATCCTGTTCAATTTTAAATTAATGCAGAGGTTTTCGTTTTACGTTGACATTAAACTTAATTGGGTAACACTGAAAAGTTTTTATTTGGGTAAAATTGTGCTATCTGTCTGGCGAATTTCTACATGGTTAATAGATGGTTATTCTCTTAAGAAGGTTGTACTTTGAATTTATATCCAAATGCCTGTCAATTGAGTTTTCATTTGAATGCCAGACTTCAGGAAAAGCCTACTTTTTATGGGATTTTCTCAGTTATATGTTTCATCTTGACTCTATGTACGTCAAAATCCAAGATGACTCATTCTGTCGCTTTTACTGCTAGTTCACGTTCGTGGATTCTTTGAGCTATACAACAACTAAACTAGCTACCGTAGTATTGTGAACAAATTTTGCAATTGGTTTTTTACAACAATATTTGTTGCAACTTTTTTTCATAAATGATCTGTTGGCTTTCTTGCAGTTATTTTGTTAGTTTGAGTACCACTCTCGAAATCGATTAATGTCTATAAGTATAGTTTCTATAGTTGACGGATAAGATACCATATGTCACAATAGCTAAATCTGTGGCGCGTACGAAATGATAAGTTGAGTTAAAATGCTGTGAGTTACGCATGTTAACCGAAGATGCTTGTATTTAGTACTGTTCGTCGAAAACATACTGTGTGACAAACTGAAACGTAACCAATCTGCTAACACCATCAAAAAGGCACGTTCAGCCTCAATTGTGAAGTACACTTTATGTTTGTCGAGAGGGGTACATGTGTTCTGTTGACACTATCATATTTCCTATCAATCTATATGCTTGTCAACTGACAGTGAAACAGCGTTTTGTTTTGATATTTAGCTTCCCAATTCAGTCAATCTCTCTACACCATTGAATCAAGCCAGAAAAATGTAGAAGGAAACCTGGCTTCTTATGCCAAACTTTTAGAAGAGGTGAGTTTCGCTATGTTGCCTTAACCTCATTTTAGGTGCAAATCAACGTTGTTAAGAACATGGAAGTCATAAAGGAGAATTTCTCAACAATAGAATCACATTTCGCACAAGATTCTAAATAACTCCTTCAAGGGACATAGTGGTGCTTATCAATAATTGTTGGGGTTGCAGTTGTTTTTTGAGACTAATTTTTCCTCCACTTTTGACTTTCATGTTATCTACTGGTTAATGGCCTCTTTTTTCATAAAATGAAAATTTATTCAGATACTCGCTGTTTTGTCTGTGAAACGGGACAACTTTGGGAGGCTTCGCTCCTCAGTATGTCATGTCGCTCGAATATATTCAGCAACTGCCTATGAACTACAAGGATGGTGGTGTGATACCCACATTCTGTGTTGCTGTCTTCATATTAAGGGTATCAACCAGCAAAGTTTTGTTTTACGAGATCCAGCAATTTCTGTTGAAGATTATTCAGCTGTAATTCCATTTTCGATTGCCTTCCCATTAACTCCTCAAAGTTCAAACCTAAATCCACCTTTGAGGCTATCCAACAACGAGAAGTCAGTCGGTCAGCATTAACATGGGGCCTGGAATTTCTGCATAAAACAGTCCAACTTCACACACATATTAGCAATCAAGGCAGGTGGCACCAAGATGAAAGACAGAGGAATAGAGAAGAAAGCAGTCCGATTGGTAAAACGTCGTGAAAAGAGAATAAGATGGGATGGAGCAGTGGTGAAATGCGGCACGACAATCAGGATGAAGACAATGTACGTGTGGATACGTCTGCACCAGTGACGTCGATTGTGAACCATGCAATCCAGTCTGTAACCACCGATTCCCGTTGTCACATGGATCCCAGTCGGTAGTTCCGAATTTCCGTGGCAACTCACACCGATAGGCAGAGACTTCATGGATTGATTCCTTGGTTTAGTTTGGCTGTTTCTGATTCTTTTCATCTTAATCCTATTTCTACCAACAGCACGAGGGTGTAGATGCTAACTAAAGTCGCGTAACACATCCCAACCATCTTGGTTGATGAGAGTTCACAGCCTTATCAACTGACTTCCGTCTCCTCTCTAAAACTCTACGCCTGACTTCTATGGTACTGACACGGTAATCCACGAGACGACCTATGCCACAAAGGCAATGGTGGTCGAACTCCTGAAGTCGTCTCGTTCCTTCTACTTTTAATGGTCATTTTCAAGTAGAACAGAGTGAACTGCAGTGGAGTATAGTCAACCCTTAATGAGCAATCAAGCATCACGGCGGCGTCATAGATAGTGTTACTTTGCGAAAGTCAAACGAGCATTTTGTACTTGTCGTCAGTTACTGACCAAACTATGCTGACGCGATTTTGCACGTGAGCGGTCTACGTACTCAACCACTTCACTCCTTGGTGGTAAACAGTTCACCAATGATGACATATCCTGGAGTATGAATCCGCTGCTGTGTTGAACAATGCAACTAGATCACTCCTATCTGATACCTCACCATAAGCTTTTCCATTTTGACGGGTGTTCGGATGCAGAGCCTTCATCGCCATAGCAGTGCGATGTACTCACTTGGTACCTGTTGTACCAGTGAGGTACACTGCTAGTTTACTCTGATCGACAGAGACAGATGCCGCCTTCAGGACACGAAACGCAGGTAGTATTGGAAGCCGGTAATATGTCGGTACTCCAAAACCTGGCGGAAGGTAAAGATCTAGTCGACACACCCACAACCAGGTCCAAAACCTTTCTGATTTTCCTGGATTTGTTGTTCCAGATGATCAATCAGACGTCTAGTAATTGTACAACCTAGGAGCTTAAACAATATGTTTATTAGACTGATTCCCCTGTAGTTATCACAGGAGGATTTCTCCCTCTGGAAGAATCAATGATTAAGACCAGTTCGACAACCTCATATCTGATTGTCATTTGGTAGCTTAAAACTTCAGTTAACCTAAACAGTATTCATTGACCATTATCTTCATCTACCTCTGGTAACAGGATTGCTGCACCTGTTACCAGTCTTCTGCAGGACTTGGAGTGCCTACCTCAATGTTCTATTCTAAATCTGACTGGGTGGTGGGCAGCCACTGACTAGTTGAGCTGTTCCTACAACTGTTCCACCGATCTTTCTAGTCGCCTCCCTGGAGATTGAGTCGTAGAGATTCTCTACGGTTATGGGCTCAACAACCGTCGAATATTTGCCTGCTTCCGTCGTTGATCTGTGTAGATGTCTACTGTTACCTAAACCCACTGTCTTTTCCATCTCTTTAGCCTCCGCTACCCACCACTGCTCATTATCGCTGAGTAGACTTGTTGTCAGTCTTTGTTTTAGTTGCTTCATTACGACCAAAGCCTTCGGGGATATGCTCACATGCATCCAATAATTCAGAAGCTATAGAGACCCATTGGCCTAAGAGTCGGCTTCGGCCTTCAAATCTGTTTTCACAATGTAAATAACACTTCGGTTATTGCCCATGAGTGACGTTGTTCTGTTCGGAGAACTGTCTAAATGGTTACTGGTTGAAAGTAGCCTTAGTATTCTCATCATCCATCTGCGTTCAGAATGGTCTAGCAGCTGTATTTTTCCTAATTCTATTTAGGTGCAGGTATGCGCGTGCTACATACAACGGTCGGTCGCTGTCTGAACATGTGCTCCTGAAGGATCAGTAATTTCTCATCAGCTCTCTCCAGCGATAACATGGTCTGTTTGCATCCACATCGGATTGACGTGACTTTAGACAGTGTCTCGCTTTCTGTCTGCATATCGTGCTGACCAGAAATAGATGGTTAGCTGAGCACTGTAGTAGCGAACAATCCCTTTTATCCGTTCGTCCGAGATTCTAAAAGTGTCTTCTGGTTTGACTTCGCCTAACCACTTGTGCACTTGTACTCTTACTCCGTGGAATCGCAACACAACTTAGGTCGATTGGAGGGCAGTTACTTCGAGAGCAGAAACCCTCAGGTTAGTCTAAAGGGACTTGAATGTAACAGTCAGTCATCAGCATAAGACCCAACAATTCTGTATAACCATCTGAGCTGCTACGTGTTACAATAAATTATCAACATGCAAGGCAACAAAAGATGGAGAAATGAAAATCTAATCAGAAGTAGAGGACCACAGGAAGATGATGAGTTAAAGACAGAGACTGGTATGACGTTAATGATGGTAGATGAACGATATGCCTGTGTATCTACGCTCACGTTCAACATATAATGTGGCATTACTGCTTAATGGCCTAATTTACCACATCAAGATGAAAGATAGAGAAATAAGAAAGAAAGTAGTCAAAATGATAAGAAGTTTTTAAAAGGCAACGAATGGAACAATAATGAAATTCGATACAACGATCGAGATGAAGACGATGTGTAGATGCCCTGAATCGCTGTCATTGATACTGAACCATGCCACATAGTGTCCAACCATTGACTTCGGTTGTAAATCAGACGCCAGCCAGAAACTCTACATTTACATACAGGGCTCAGGCTAATAATCAGAAACTTGTCGTCGAATCATACAACCTATTGCAATATTACACTGTTTCACTTAACGTAGCGTATCGAGATAAAAGAGTGACTAGACGTGCGCAGATTCCCGAGCCACTTCAATGGATAAAGGTTTATGAACTCGTTATCCGATTTGTCCGTTTCACTCAAAACTACCCCCAATGTCTACATTGTTCACATATGGTTCCATAAAATATTTGCTATGGTATCAGTATGAAGTAAACATCGTCGAATATGTGAAGTCTTCTCATATCCTCCGTGTTCAGTAGCCATGCAGTAGACCCTGCTATTAGTCAGCAGTGCCGTAGGTTAGCAAAAACCTTCGGTAGTCAACATGCTCAACCACTTCACTCTCTACGTGCATATGAGGCGTCAACACAGAATATTCTTGTAACAACAACAGCAACAACTTTTATTTGAAACAAGAGCACTGTATTCTGAGCATTTTTAACCGTTCACTCAGTTTCAGAAGGTTTCCTACTTTGCAAGCGTTTCATAACAGTTCCATGTCGTCTGTGTACTCTAATTTTTCCAAGGGTTCTCTTACGGAATGTTTAATCCCTGTCACGTCAGGAGAGAGAATGACTGCCATAGGGAGGTTTATGTAAAAATGCAAATGAATGGAGGCACAATAGACATCATTGGTGAACGGTGCTCGACGTGAACACGATTACGGGTGTCCGAGTATATCACCTTCAGTTGAGTTATGCATTTGCCATGCACCTCTTTCAGTGAGAGGCACTGCACTAAGACCTGTCGATCAACCTAGTTGAGCGCCACCCACCGGCCAAGAAATACGAATACTGTCAAGCTTCAACAGGTATATCTGTGTTCTGGGCTTTGTGGAGGGTGTCAGGGTTGGGTTGATTCACTCACGGTGACACGTTAAACTCACCTGGTTTTATTGCATTTGCTATCCCGTAGCTCCAGTCAGGTTTCAGACGATTGCAGAAACTAGAGTTTCAGATATTATGGTAGGCTGACTTATCTGTGGTGATGCCTTCCCGCTTACCATAACACCTACTTGTGTATTGAAGTCGCTCGCTGCGACAGCCACATCGGGAATTTTGACTCTATGTCAGAGGAGTTAGACATTTTTCGATGAAGCTAATGTTTCACATAATCCTAACTGTGGTCAGTGGGGCATGATCGAAAATCACAAATGTCGTTGTGTCACTGTCCTTTGTAGCTCTAAATATATTGTGAGCTATTCTGAAAGGTACTTGTAATGAAAAGTATCCCACAGGGACATCTAGGTTCTTCGTTTTTATACGTGATGCACTTAGCCACCTTGGGCACGTCCGTGCCAGTGGGCAATGAACAATACTTATTATGTGAGGGCTAGTGATACTACATATTTGGCTGCTTAAACCTCGGTAGGTGAGGTGGCGTTCAAAGCCGTGACCCATTGGTAGGTAACCGTCTCTCTAAAACCCCGAGCCACGGTTCCACTTCCTATTGATAGTGTTTTACCTATGGAGATCATTTCTACTCGTACCTGTTTTTGTACATGGTTTGTTTACTGGAGACTCCTTAATAGACTGATTGAATGTGGACTTCAGAGACCAACTACTCATTCGAGATGCTGACAACACATGGATTCTTCTGAACAGTATGAATGTTATGAAAAGTTCTTGAAATATATAGCGGAAGTTTCTCAGATCCTCCGTAAACCTTAACACTGCTATAATAGGAAGAGTGCTAATAAGATTGATGTAATCAGTAGGATTTATCTTGTGAGCGTCTAGTCTATTTCTCATTTGTTGGACATTTTGCATACGTCATTTGCTTTTTAAGTAGTCAGGTCTTATGATATTAGATGACCAATGTCTTAGTATTTGATTACTGCATGCGATCAGACGCACAAATGGAAATAGTATGCAAGCTGAGTGGTATGATTAGAGCTACAGTGTGGCTTGTAAACACCTTGTGCATGAATGACCGCAGTCTAGTTTCAGCACATTCCGAACACCCTGAACAGCCAAGCCTTGAAAATCGGAGATCGCAGTCAGTTAACGATATTAAGAATGTCTTCTTTAAACAATTATATTCCTAAAAATCTTCTGTTGTCAATATTTACTAGTGACACGATCAAATGATTAAACTGAAGTTAAAATATCCAAATGATGAACTACCAGGCATGCGGCCACAAATATCGTCTTCGTTCAATAAGCCTTTTGAAAATGATTGCCCGTCCTTCAGGAGTGGCCATTCTTACTGATTCTGACATTTTACTCTCTCTGCGGGAAAGCAAAATAGTGTTCAGCTTCCTTCTACCGAGTTGCGATGGGCCACTTCTGAGGAAGATATGTTGCATCATGGATGCGTACGGCTTCGGTAGACGGTTATTCCTGTGATTACATCCAACTCCCTTCGGCGTCTAAAAAACAAATAAATAAAACCCAAAAGAAAACTACTTATTGGTGCGTATAGTCACAAGTCGTTCCAACGTAAATCACTATGTAGTGGAATAGTTTTATAGAACTAGTCAAGTATCAGAGCGAATCTTACTTTCGCTATCTAGCATGGCAAATTAGCGCGCAACATAGTTTATGAGAAAACTGAAACCGCTTGGAACTGTTGGATTGTGAATATACTAAGTACAACTGTAATTCTGGTTCGTGCTGCGTAAATAAGAAAATTCTATTCCTAGTTCTTAAAAACTGCAATAATAATGCTGCATACTTACGAAAACAGCATCTAGAAATAACACCTGGACATTTATAGGAATTACTTACAAAGATCAAGAAGCAGTTGAATGCGATTGAGATATTCCTCCACTTAACAATACTGTTGCTTTTCTGAACTCTACTACTCCAGACTCACTGAAGATGATGGCATTTTTGAATACTCACAGTACTGATGGGTTCTGATCTTACTGAGTTTTGGAACTTATGTGTGTATATCTTATTTCTAACTAATACTACCGTGAAAAACACTCCCCATATCAGTATATCGAGATAAGAAGCACCAAGATTACAGATTTTAAAAAAAGGGAAGACTACTGGTTAACTAGTTTACTAGTTACTAGCCGGTCCTAAGCCCGGGTAAAGAGGGAAGGTTGGGCATAGGGCTAGCAACCCTACCCCGTAAAACAAATCTAACCGCTAAAGAAACTTCAAAGCACAAACAAAATATAAAAAATGAAAACAAACTTATTCCCCGCTGGAATCGGAGAGGCGAAATGACGCCAGTTGGTGAAAGCCTTCGGGAAGCCAATTGGCCGATGTGTCTTCTCTCGATGAAAGCGAAAGTAAACGTGGGGACATGGAATGTCCGCACGATGTTTGAACCCAGTAAGGCAGCCCAGATTGCAAAGGAGATGAGAAGGTATAACATCGAAGTGCTTGGGATTTGCGAAAGCAGATGGAATGGGAGTGGACTCTCCAAACTGTCAACGGGAGAATCAATAATCTACTCCGGTCACCCAGACGCCAACCACGAGCACACTGAGGGAGTGGCTATCATGATGTCCTCAAGAGCATCGAAGGCTCTCATGCAGTGGGAACCAATCTCCTCCAGATCAGGATCATGACAGCAAGATTCAACTCAAAAGGAAGAAAGGTCACAATCATACAATGTTATGCACCTACAAATAATGCAGAGCAAGAGAAAAAGGAGGAATTCTACAGACAACTTCAGTCAACACTGGACAAGACGTCAGTTGGCGATATCAAAATTCTAATGGGCGACATGAATGCCAAACTGGGAGGGGACAACACGGGAAGAGAACTAACCATGGGTCGAGAGGCGCTAGGTGAAATGAATGAGAATGGAGAATTGTTTGCAGAATTCTGTGCATTCAACGATTTGGTGATTGGAGGCAGTGTGTTCAGGCACAAGGATATCCACAAAGCGACATGGATTTCACCAGATGGACACACTAAAAACCAAATCGACTTTATCTCAATCTCAAGAAAATGGAGACGCAGTCTACTTAACACAAGGTCAAGAAGAGGAGCAGATGTAGGTTCAGACCACTATCTAGTGCAAGGAACCTTCGAAATCAAGTTAAAAGCCTTCAAGGAAGCTGGTGATAGACCTCAATTCAAGTACAACACTCGGAAACTGAAGGATGAAACTACAAAGGAGATCTTCAAAGCAGCCATCAAGACAAAATGGGAGACGTCGAGGGACATCCCTGAAGAAACCTGTGTAGAAGAACACTGGAAGTCTTTGAAAGCTATGTGGAAAGAAACCTGCACAACAGTATTAGGAAGGAAGAAGAAAGAAGACAAGGAATGGATCTCGACGGATACCTGGAAGCTGATAGAGGAGAGGAGGATGGTGAAGCAGAAGATAAACCAGTGCAAGGATGCTCAACGACAAGAGGAACTGAGCACAATGTATAAAACACTGGATAAAGAAGTGAAGAAGAGTGCACGCAAAGACAAACGACACTTCTACGACACACTGGCAAGTGAAGCAGAACAGGCTGCAGGTAAGAGAGACCTGACGACATTGTATCAAATAACCAGGTTGCTATCAGGGAAGAGACCAACACAGATGAAACCAATAAAAGATGAAGAAGGAAATTTAATTACAAAAGAAGAGAAACAGAGGAAACGATGGGCCGACCACTTCAAGAAGCTCTTGAATCGACCACCACCTGCACTTCGTCCAGAAATACCACCTGCAGCCGCTGAATTACAAGTGAACATAAATCCCCCAACGAAAATGGAAGTCCTGAACGCCATAAAGCTACTGAAATGCGGGAAAGCAGCAGGACCAGATGGAATACCGCCAGAAGCACTGAGAACAGATGCAGAGACAACAGCGGACATGCTCACACCACTATTGCAGAAGGTGTGGAGGGAAGAGAAGGTACCTGACGATTGGAAGAAGGGTTACCTTGTCAAACTGCCGAAGAAGGGAGACCTCAGTGCTTGCAAGAACTGGCGAGGAATCACTCTCCTATCCACCCCAAGTAAAATATTAAGCCGCATCATCCTGGAGAGGCTTAAAGACGCACTGGATTCAAAACTGCGACCGGAACAGGCAGGCTTCAGGAAGTACAAATCATGTGCTGACCAAATTGCAACGCTTCGTATCATCATAGAACAGAGCGTAGAATGGCAATCAGCTCTATACCTCAACTTCATCGACTTTGAGAAGGCCTTTGACAGCGTCGACCGAGAAGTAATTTGGAAACTGCTTCAATACTACGGAGTACCGCAAACCTTTATCCGCCTCATTCAACAACTATATGAAGATGCCACATGCCAAGTAATCCACAATGGGAAGCTCAGTGATGCCTTTGAAGTGAAGACAGGAGTGAAACAAGGTTGCCTACTATCCCCCATGATATTCCTAATTGTGGTGGACTGGATCATGCAGCAAACAGTAGGCAGCGAGAAGAGGGGGATACACTGGACGACGGAAAAGAACCTAGAAGACTTGGATTTCGCCGATGACTTATGCCTAATGTCACATAAACTTGAAGATCTGCAGGCAAAAACTAACAAGTTGACAGAGGAGGCAGCTAAGACGGGACTTCAGGTGAATATAGAGAAGACAGAAGTGATGAAGATACCGCACCACCACCATCAACAACAACAACAAACTCCAATCACCGTCAACGGTAGAAACTTGAAGGAAGTAACCTCCTTCACTTATCTAGGAAGCACTGTTTCAACTACAGGCGGGACGGACGAGGACGTCAAAGTCAGAATCGGAAAAGCAAGACAGGCATTCATTAGCCTGAAACCAGTGTGGAGATCTTCTGCACTCAGCATGCGGAACAAGATACGGATTTTCAACACCAACGTCAAGTCAGTGCTCTTGTATGGCTCAGAGACTTGGCGCGTCACGAAAGGCATTTCCAATAAACTACAGACATTCATCAACAACTGCTTACGCTCGCTGCTGAAGATCAGATGGCCAGAAAAAATAAGCAACAAGGAACTCTGGGAACGAACCAACCAAGAACCTATCACGCAACAAATATGCAGGAAGAAGTGGAGATGGATTGGGCATACACTGAGAAGGCCGACTGAGGACATCACGCGTCAGGCCCTCGAGTGGAATCCCCATGGGAAGCGACGAGTTGGACGTCCGAGGGTGACATGGAGGAGGTCGTGCGAGGAGGAAATGAGAGCTTCTGGGCTGTCGTGGAACCAGGTTCAAAAGATCTCAGAGAACAGAGGTCACTGGAGGCGTGCTACTGAAGCCCTATGTTCCACTAGGAACCCAAGGGACTAATAATAAATAATAATAATAATACTGAAAAGTAGCAGAAAGTGACGAGAAGAGATAAAACAACCTGAAAATGCGATATGATGAATAAAGTAAGGATAATAATGTGTGGTTGCAACTGCTCAACTGACACCCATTTTGAGCCACCACCTAGATACTAAGATTGGTAGCATTTGGTTTCAGTGGAGTACTGAAATGTTTAAGCTCCAAAAATTAAAACTGAACTGGCAAACTTACATCTGGTTCAAAATGGCAAACTAAGTTAAAACTGCGGCAACTAGATAACCTGCGAAGGTTTGAAAATAAAGGATTCCAAATATAACAGTGCATCTATATTAATAGTCCGTGGAGAAAAGATAGATATCAAACCTAAAGAGAATAAGGCACAAAACACAATACCATGAAACGAGACTTTAACTGGTAAATTTCAAGCTGGTAATGTTACAGTATTCTTTAATATTACTACTGACGCAACAATATGCAATTCAGTAAAAATGTGCACGCTAATGAAGTAGGTGATCAAGTGTATCAGCTTCTTTTCGAAGTAACGACTACTTATCAAAATGCAGTTTCCCAATACTGGTCCAACATTTATAAATTCTAGTACTAGAAGTAGCGGTGTGTTATTGATTTTATACGGGTGACCATAATACTAGTACTAGTCGATAATTTCGTCCAAATCCGCCTGTAACATATACCTTTGCACCATTACGTATGACGTCAGAATTTTACACGCGGATAGGGACGCGAGATTTGAGCGTTTTCTGACAATTTTAAAAATATGGAGAGAGGAAACGGCCAAAAAAATTCCTTCACAAAAAATCCATTTCTTACGAGTTTCCAGTTAACATCCCACACACCTTAACTTTCTGAACTCCACGGTTTGTGAAATCCCTGATGCAAATACACACCATGTCACTGAACCCTAAGCTACCAGACTTTCCCAACAATCTTATGGTAAACAACCTATCTAAAACCCAAGTGAACTTGTTGTCATGAATTGCTGCTTATTAATTTCTTCACGAAAAGTTATTTTAGACGCTGGTGTTAATCATAGTCACAGTCATAGGGTCAAATGACAGTTCTGAAATAGCTGATAGCTATCTAAAGTGGTCTTTTCCACCTGGCTTTATAAGTACACTATTAACCTAGTAACCTCAAAAACCTAAATGATTATGTCATCTTCCTAGCTCCTTAGAAGCTGACTCTGGCACAGGTTTAGTAGGCTGATGAACGTCTACTAGAAATCTGCTTGAGCGAAGAACATAAAATTGTGCGCAGACCATCCAACTTTCTAGACTCATAAGTAGGTAGTAAGATTTTCATCTTATAAATACTGGTCATTTTGGCAAGACATTTTTCCCACACCTAATGCATCAATATCCCCATCCATCAAGAATACACTTCTGAACAAGTCAGTTAAGAACTCAGCTTTGCTGAGGTAAAATCCCGGTGACTTACCTGAACTCCTAGACAATATGAGGTAAAACAGAGTCTTTTTATTTACCTTTCTTCTATACAAATCGTCTTTAATGATAGCTTTGAAAGCCACACACAGCCTGTTTCTCGTACTCCATCAACGATTTTGTAATCTCATTTTTCACAAGACTTAGACCATAAAAATGGCAATACTTAAAATAACGTAATCTATTATAAAGTATAGTTTCTATAGTTGATTTTTTCGCGTTATAATTGAGTAGGTTTACCAAATCAAGGTCGGTGATCAAGACCATAAAACGACCGGGGTTTCTACCTCTTCGAATTTAGTTTTAAATTCGTGTAGCATTTCCAACATGGACGACTTATTAGCAGTAGGATACTTTCCAACAACTGTCGTAAGTAGCTGTCAGCCATGCTCTACCAGAAGGGCCCAAACAATTGTGGTCTGTCTAACAGGTTCAAAACTGAAGAACCAAATTGATGGTGGCACATATATCCAATTAGGGGTAACATAATGCAAGTTTGGATTTGCAGGGATCCCTGAAAGAGTCTTATAGAGATAAAATTAAGTCGCATTTCCACCAGACTCAAAAATCTAGCACGTTTGTCCAGTTTTTTCAAAACTTTAAAACTGCACCTTAGCATAATGAGCACCTTGGGAGCGTTCGATATGAATGCATTAAGTATGCTTGATAACCTCGCCTGGTTAACTAGTTCACTAGTTACTAGCCGGTCTTAAGTCCGGGTAAAAAGGGAAGGTTGGGCATAGGGCTAGCAACCCTATCCCCTAAACCAGTCCAGTCGCTAAAGAAACTTCAAAGCACGAAGCGCAAACTTATTCCTCGCTGGAATCGGAGAGACGAAATGACGCTGGTTGGTGAAAACCTTCGGGAAGCCAACTGGCCGATATGTCTTCTCTCGATGAAAGTGAAAGTAAACATGGGGAAATGGAACGTCCGCACCATGTATGAACCAACCAAGGCTATCCAGATTGCAAAAGAGATGAGGAGGTATGGTATGGAATCTGCGAAAGCAGATGGAATGGAAGTGGACTCTCCGAACTGTTAACTGGAGAGTCAATAATCTACTCTGATATTGTCACACGGACGACAACCACGAGCCCAATGAGTTATGGAGTGGCTATCATAATGTCCTCCTCCCAACAGCATCAAAGGCTCTCTCTCATGCAGTGGGAACCAACCTCCTCCCGCAGGATCAGGATCATGACAACAAGATTCAACTCAAAAGGAAGGAAAGTCACAACCATTCAATGCTACGCGCCGACAAATAATGCAGATTAAGAGGAGGAATTCTATAGACGGCTGCAACCAGTACTAGACAAGACTCCAGATGGCTACATCAACATCCTAATGGGTGGGGTGACGTGAATACCAAACTGGGAGTGGACAACACAGGAAGAAAATTCATCATGGCTCGAGAAGCACTCGGTGAAATGAATTAGAACGGAGAATCGTTTGCAGATTTTTGAGCACTCGACGATTTGGTAATTGGAGGCAGTGTGTATAAACACAAGAATATTCACAAGACACACTAAGAATTAGATCGACTTCATCTCAATGTGAAGAAAGTGGAGACGCAGCCAGCCTACTGGACACAAGATCATATCGTGAAGGGGAGCAGATGTAGGTTCACACTACGCACTATCTAGTGCAAGGAACCTACCTTCTAAATAAGTTGAAAGCCTTCACAGAAGTTGGTGATAGACCGCAGTTCAAGTTCAACACCCAGAACAGAAACTGAAGGACGAAACTACAAAGGACATCACGTCAGCTATGAGGAAAAAATGGGAGACATTGAGCAACATCGCTGAAGGAACCTCCATGGAAGATAACTGGAACTCTCTGAAAGAGATGTGGAAAGAAACCTGCATAACCGTATTGAGAAGGAAGAGGAAACCAGACAAGAAATGGATCTCGACGGATACATAGAAACTGATGGAGCAAGAAGAGGATTGTGAAGCAGAAGATGAACCAGTGCAGTGCAGGGATGAACAACGAAAAGAGGAACTGAACACAACCTATAGAACACTACACTGGACAAAGAAGTGAAGGAGAATGCATGTAAAGACAAAAGACACTTCTACGAAACACTGGGAAGTGAAGCAGAACAAGCTGTAGGTAGGAGGGACCTGACAACACTGTATCAAATAACCAAATTACTATCCGGGAAGAGATCAACGCAGACGAAACCAATGAAAGATAGTGAAGGAAAGCTAGTGATCAAATAAGAGAAACAAAGGAAACGATGGGCTGACCACTTCAAAAAAACTTTTGAATCTACCACCACGACCACCTGCAACTCGTCCAGAAATACCACCAGCAACGGCAGAACTACCAGTGAACACAGGCTCTCCGACAAAAGCAGAAGTCCTGAATGCCATAAAAATGCTGAAATCCGGGAAAGCAGAAGGACCGGAAGGAATTCCACCAGAAGCACTGAAAACAGACGCAGAGACAACAGCGGACATGTTCACACTACTACTGCAGAAGGTTCGGGAGGAAAGGTGCCTGCAGACTGGAAGAAGGGCTACCTTGTCAAACTCCCAAAGAACGAAGACACAAGACTTCGCAAGAAACGTCGAGGAATCATGCTCCTGTCCCTGTCCACCCAAAAGCAAGCAAAATATTAAGCCGAATCATCCTGGAGAGACTTAAGGATGCGCTGGATTCAAAACTACGACCGAAACAGGCTGGCTGACTTCAGGAAGTACAAATCATGCGCGAATCAAATTGCAACGCTGCGCATCACCGTAGAACAGAGCATAGAACGGCAGTCAACTTTCTACCTCAACTTTATCGACTTTGAAAGGGCCCTCGACAGCGTCGACTGAGAAGTAATTTGGCAACTGCTTCAACACTACGGTTTTAGTGCCACTAACTTTTATCAACCACATTCAACAGCTATATGAAGACGCCACACCTCAAGTAATCCACAACAGAAAGCTCAGTGACGCCTTTGAAGTGAAGACAGGAGTAAGACAAGGCTGCCTACCATCACCGATAATCTTCCTAACTGTGGTGGACTGGGTCATGTAGCAAACCGTGAGGATCGAGAAGACGGGCATACGCTGTTTCATTGATGTGAAGACTCTAGGAGATTTGGATTTCGCCGATGATTTATGTCTGTCTTGTCGCACAAACTCGAAGATGTACAGGCGGAAACTAACAAGTTGACAGAAGAGGCAGCGAAGACGGGACTTCAAGTGAATGTAAGGAAGACGGAGGTGATGAATATACCCAACCAGCAAAAGCATGAACAACAAGCACCAATCACTATTAATGGGAGACACCTGAAGGAAGTAGTCTCTTTGACTTACCGGCCTAGGCAGCATCGTTTCAGCGGCACAGACGAGATTGTCAAAACCAGGATCGGAAAGGCACGACAGGCTTTCCCTAATCTGAAATCAGTGTGGAGATCTACTGGAATGCACTCAGCGTTAACAAGATCCGGATTTTTAACACCAATGTCAGTCAAGTCGGTGCTGCTATATGGTTCAGAAACTTGGCGCGTCACGAAAAGCACTTCCAACAAACTACAGACACATCTTCAACAGCTGCCGCCTACACTCACTCAATACTGAAGATCAGATGGCTAGAATAATAAGAATAAACAACAAGCAACTCACTCTGGCAACGAACCAACCGAGAACCTATCGCCCAACAAATATGTAGAAAGTGGAGATGGATTGGGCATGCACTGAGAAGGCCGACTGGGGACATCACGCACCAGGCTAGACCGTAGAGTGGTACCCAAGGGGAAACGACGAGTTGGGCTTCCCAGCTGAGGGTGACATGGAAGAGATCATGTGAGGAAGAAATGAAAACTTGTGGGCGGTCGTGGCGCTAGGTTAAAAAGACTGCAGAGAAAAG